GAGAGAGAGAGAGAGAGAGAGAGAGAGAGAGAGAGAGAGAGAGAGAGAGACTAGTATGAAAGAAAAAGGAAAGGAGGAAAGAAAGAAGCAAATCGCCAATGGCAGAGCACCTTGTTGGGAGAGGACAGGGTAGCAGAAGGGGAGATAGGGTACCCATCCATGAGAGATATAACTAGAAGGTTGGGGAAGGAAGGAAAACAAAATTGTGCTGGCTGCTAAGTCCTTAGGTTCCAATTCTCAAGACTGACAGCACGAAATTGGCCTTGTGAGAACCTGCTCACAGCCCCAGGCCCAGGAAGGAAGCCAAAGGCAGATGGGACTAGGTTTCCAAAGACACATAAGCACAATGGGACCATTAAAGTCTGCCAACCACCTTTGTCTGCATCCACTTCACTACATGTCCCCAGAATCCTCAGTTTATTAGCCCCTAAACACTCCAAACCCAAGAAAGTTCTTTCGACAGGCAAAACCAGGCTTCCACCATGCTCAGTCCCTGAGTGGTAGCTCATGTTGCTCCAAGGATTTCCAGTCGTAGAAATGCTGCAATGCCCAAGCATAGCCTGAGACAGTGATCTCCTCGGGCATCTATGGGCCATTAACATAAATAAGAGGTGGGCAAGGAGTAGGTCAAAGCAGGAGGGTCCTTCCTCATTGCTTTCCTGCCATAATTTACCAGATCTTCAGCTAACCCTTAGTTGGTAGTTAAAAAGGTAGGAAAGAAAAAAACCCAAAAGACTGGTTCTTCATGGCATCTTGACAGGATGGGTCCAACAGAATAGGATTTCCATGACGACCTCACTACGTGTGGCAAACATGTTCCCTTAAATACAGTAGGAGAAAGGCATTGCAGAATTTTTAAATGTTCCCATTTTATTAGGAAAAAAAAAGTTGTAATTAAAGTTGTGATTCCTTGGCTCGAGAGATGGTGTAACATGAATCTTAAAATGGTCTTTTAATGAAAAGCCCCAGAGCCAGAAATTGGTGTAAATACTGAAAGATCAGAGAAGCAGAGCAAGCCACCTCTAGGACTCCTGAACCTGAAAAAGCCTCTAGTTCCTGTCTCCTCACCCCTTATATACCTTTCTCTGCCCAGCCATCACTCTCTGGGATTAAGGACATGTGTGCTTCTCAAGCAAAGGCATTAGTTCTCAAGTGCTAGGATTAAAGGTGTGTGCCATCAGTGTCTGGCTCTGTGTCTCTCCTAGACAGAGTCAATCTCATGTAGTCCAGGGTGGCTTTGAACTCACAGAGATCCATTTGGGTCCCTAGTGCTAGGATTAAAGGTGTGTACCACCACTGCCTGGCTCTGTTTAATCTAGTGCTTGTTCTGTCCTCTGATCCTCAGGCAAAGTTTATTAGGTTACACAATATATCACTACAAGATGGCACAGAGGTTAGGTCCTGAGTTCAGTTCCCAGAAACCATATAGTGGCTCACAACTATCTGTAATGAGATCTGGTGCCCTCTTCTGGCATGCATTAATTGTGATTCCTTTCATATAACTGAGGATAGATCTAGGAATGCTGTCTTTTTACAAAACACTTAAAGGCCTCATGTTGAGTTAATAAAGGAATAAAATAAAGGGCTTACCTAAATGAATTAAGTAGTAAAACAAGGTAGAAACATACCTAGTTCATCTTCAATCTTCAATAATGGACTCTTAATTTCTTTTTAGCAGTTCCTTCGAATGTACACAACATATCCAATGCAAATAAACAATCTTTCATCACACTGTGTAAGACAGAAAAATCTGCAATGCCTTCTGGGTTTAAGATAATGATTGGAACAATGAAATACATTTTTCTAGAAAAAGATTGTAGTTGATGAAATAGGTACCCGTTTCACTGAAAGTATAAATGACATCACCAATGTAATTTAGCCCCTCTCTACTTCCTCCGTGTGCTCTCCAAAATGTTAAGACGAAGTTAAGTGAGCCAAATCATAGAGAAATCATGAAGATATACGAAAGAGCGTCTGGCAGTTTCTTACAAGAAATACAATGCAGAGCTCTGCAGGCATCTCCTTGAGGCCTCTCGGGGACCTAGTTAGGAGTACCACTTACAGGTTAAGTGAGGCTGCAGATGAGGCACCTGGGGTCTTACCTGCAGATGGGGCACCTGGGGGCCCTGGAGGACCTTGACGACCAGGTTGACCAGTAGGCCCAGGCTTGCCTGGTGGGCCCATGATTCCACTGTCTCCCTTCTGACCCTGACAGATAGAAAGAGAAAGCCTGTTGTGCTATGATGGCATGACAAAGTTCCTTCCCCACTTACCTCTAAATCAGAGACCACCTAGCTCAGACAAGCAAAAACTCATGGTGGGATATACCTGGTCTCTGGCATGCAGCCTGTGAGAAGGACAGAGCAAGTGATCTGTGCAAGTTTGAAGACCTCATTAAGTTCTCACTCTGTTCTAGAAACATGGCACAGGACAATAGAAACAATCCACCTCATCCCCTGGCATGAGTTAGGAAATGGAGTCTCAGGGTATTTGTGTAATGTTCTAGTGTTGAGGTAGCGGAGGTAGACCTATAATTTAAGCTTTCATCTACCTGTTAGGATTACTTTCATTCTATCAGAACTTTCTGCCCACAGACTCCCCATTGCTCTCTTGGTAGAGACCCAGTTCCTTACTGAGCCCAAGAAGAGAGACATGGCCCTGCTCTTCAACCTTGAGTCAGAGTGTTTGTTTGTTTTGTTTTTTGTTGTTGTTGCTGTTGTTGTTGTTGTTTGAGACAGGATTTCTCTGTGTAACAGCCCTAACTATCCTGGAACTTTGTAGACCAGGTTGGCCTTGAACTCACAGAGATCTACTTGCCTCTGCCTCCTGAGTGCTGAGATTAAAGATGGGCACCACCACGACAGCCAGAGTTTGTTTGTTTGGTTGGTTGGTTGGTTTTGCTCTTAGTCAAAAACACCATGATTCTTCTCGTACTTCTCAAGAAAAGATTATCTTTGCACCCCAAACTCCTCTTCATGCCCCCTCTGCCTTCAGTTTTCAGCTCCGATGTCCAAGAACAAGATCTTCCTTGATCTCCCAGGCTGTACTGGTGTTCCTCACTGCATTCTCTCAACACTTTCTTTTTCAAGCTGAGAGTTGAAGTGCATGCCTGTCATCACAACACTCAACAGGCTGAGGCAGAGAGATTGCTGTTAGTTTAAACACACACCCATGGCTCTTCCTATTTATTTTGGATCACTGATCATAGATCATTGTGTGGTCACTTCATCACTGTCTCCCCATGAGACATAAGTTCCATGTGGGCTAGAATCCGCCGTGTGCATCTTCTCTCCCCAGACCAAATGAAGGAGAGGAAGTTGGCAGCACGTGGGGAGGGATTTTTGACGATCTGCCAGTCAAGATAGTTTACCTTGACAGTGAGGCTGGATAAATCGTGTCATTGCTTTATGCCTTGGTCTTCTCTTCTCTAAAGTAGAGCCAGTACATAGAGAGCCACCCGGGTTCACTGTGAGGCTAACAAAGATGGCAGAAGTGAAAATGTGGTTTGTGAAGAGTGAAGACAAGCTGACTGTCCTAGTGGCTGGCCGGGCTTCATCTTCTCCCATGGAGAAACATGTTTGATTTTCTGAGAGCATTTTGGAGATTCTAGCAGGGACCATGACTACTTATATACTCTTAACCAAAGGACAGTCCTTTATTATCGGAGAAGGTCATCTCTATCCAATCGTACAGCTTTGGAAGAGACGCACGGAGCAGTGAGCTCACTGCTCCCTCTCAACAGCCAGACCATCTAGATCAACCATGATGGTCAATGAGATGACAGATGTTCAAGCCCAATGTCCCTTACACCTAAGAAGTCCTGATTGCTTAAAGAGAGTCACACCTCAAGATACTCCATTTCCAATCATACACTGGCTCTGTGAGGTACTGTCCTACCAACATGGCCCTAGGGGTCTTCTCCATAATACCAGAGGAGTTCCTAAACTTGTCCCAGGGGACCCATGAGGTTAGTCTGTTCCCAACTCTGCCCTCACAGAGGAGGCTGTTAATCCTCAGGCCAGGCTGAAGCATTCCACATGATAACCAAGATGGGTCCCAGAATGGCAAAGGAAGTCACACCAGCTTAATATAGCCAGTAAAGCTTGTTTTCCTAACAGCCAGGCCAGCTGGCTCTGAGCACAGGAAGTGCATGGCTTGAAGGAGCTGGAAACACTCCTTGACTCTGACACCAAGAGTAGAGGAGTCTGGCTTAATTGGTCATTGGACAGAAAGTGCCATATCTTTATGGCAGGTGTCACTGAACCGAATTATCCAGGGGGTGCATTCAGAGGCAGACCTGGAGGTGCAGCCACTGTAGCTGGTGGAGAATCTGTGTTCAGTAAATGCCTCGGAGATGCCGACATAAACTGAAGTCTGAGTGTCCTCACACCAGCACAAGGAAAAGGCTTTGTTGCCAAAGATGCCCTCCTTTCAGCATTTCAAATGACCCGGGCGAGCCTCTCCTCCAAGCAAGCTATTGCTTCCTTGTTTATTAAAATATGATGTGGGTATTCTTAGAAGATGTTTAAAATGTATTAATATCTGCAACAATGAGGAGCTACACATTGTGAAGTGAAGGACAAAATAACTACACAGTAGACATAAAAGAAATAGCTCTGAACTACATGTAACCTCAGCATGTCTGAGGTGGAAGCAGAGTTTGAGGCCAGCCTGGGCTACATGAGACTCTATCTGAAAGCAACAACAATAAATGAATAAACAAAGAAATTTTAAAGTGAAATAATGAATTATGGAAAGATATAATACCCAGATCAAACCATAACCACCAACAGAATGGAGATAAAATGGCCACTAGCAGGATAGATGATTTCACATATTCTCATGACAAAAACAGCAAATATCTGAAGTGATAGATGTATCTATTAACCTGACTTGATCACTCCACAATGTAGGTATATATATATGTACATATATCACAGTGTACCCTATAAAATATAATAATTAAAAATAGAAAGTTTTACATATATGCTCAAAAATGACATTCTTCTTCTAACATACTAACAATCATTAACATTAAAAAGTATACATAAGTATACAAATTAATAAATATTAATTTTCAAATATTGGTATTAATTACATAAACTGACTTGTATCTGTCGGTGTGCAAGCAGAAGCCAAAGGTCAACATCAGGTATCTTTCTCAATTGTTCTCCACCTTATTTTGAGACAAGGTCTCTCCCTGAACCTGCAGCTCGTGGATTCATCTGGAGTGGCTGGGACTCTGCCTCCCTAGTACTAGGATTACGGGTGTGCGCTGCCACACAGCACTCTTCACGTGAGTGCTGGGGATCAACTCAGTCCTCATGCTTACACAGGAAGCAATTTACCTACTGAGCCACTGCCCCGGCCCCTAAATAAAGCTGGATTTCAAATATCTATTTGAAATAAAAAAGGCAACAAACATCATGATGATGACGATGATGATGATGATAATAATAATGCACATGTAGTAAGACCAAGGCCATCCTGGGTTACATAATGAGACCCTGTCTTAAAACAAACAAACAAAAAACAAAAACAAAACAAAAAGTAACATGGCACTTCTCTCGGGTGTATCTGTACATTATCAAAAATGCTAGTTTTCCTGTGGCCATTTAGTGCAGGCTTCAAAACCAGTGCAGAAAAGTGAGCCCCGCTCCTTCCTTTCCCAGTTCCATAACCTGGCTTTCCCTGCTGACCAGGAGGCTCAGAGCAAACGATTGCCCTAAGCTCTTAACAAACCCAATGAAGAGGATCACTTCCAAATTAGGGGTTTGTGCAGTGAAAACTGTCACTGAAGTTCAAAAGACCTGTTAGCCACAAGGACAGGCATAGGCTGGTCTCTAAAACTCAATTTACACCCAGTATACTGAGGCAAAGAGCACATTTTCTGCAGAATGATCATTCCTAGTTACTTCGTTTAAGATATACGCGTTCCTATGAACTAGAGCCACTCTTGCTTCTGACCTTGAGTGGAGCCCGTAACCTTGAACCATGGCTAGCCAGGAGAAGCCTAAACATCAGTAGTGAGGCTTCTCTGTCCACTCTCCCTGAGGATGCTTGAATCCAAGGCTGTGGAATAGCTCTAGATGACCCTTGCATGCTTCTCCACACATCTGTATGCCCTCAGTGAGGTAAACCCTGGGATCCTTACCTGCTTGCCTCGTTTTCCTGGTCTCCCAGTGGGGCCTCGGTGTCCTGCAAGCCCAGGTTCTCCCTTTGGACCCATTTCACCCTGGAGAGAAGAAAGAGAAAGAGTGGGCGTGTCTATGCTGGTCTCTCCAATCACTGGCCCCCAAGGCCTCCTCTTCATCCTCTGTCTTTCCCAAGTAGGCTGTCCTGGGAGCTTGGGAGACTGGTGAGCTCATATCCAGGGAACAGGGAAGAAAGAAGGCACCCTGAGGGTGTGACTCGGTGCTGTAGAGTGCTTGGTGCTCTGGTGGTCAGAGAGAGAGGCGGCCCTGTCCACAGCGGTCAGCCGTGGTTTCTGCACTTCAGTCACACATGTCTGTCTGTGTCACTACAGACTGGGGAAAGGCTTTCTTGTCTAATTGAAAATTTGTGTAATGGTTTGTTGTGTTTTGTTTTTAGTACAAACTCACACATATGAGTGGGGTTTTTTTTGTTTGGTTGGTTTTTTTGGGGGGGGGGTTCTTTTTCTTTTTTTTATTGTTTGGTTTGGTTTTTGTTTGTTTGTTTGTTTGTTTGTTTGTTTTAATGTTTGCGAACAGTCTTGTCCACTGTAATGTTTGGTATTTTGTAGGGTTTATGTAGGATTATATAGCTCTCCACTTTTTTGTTTTGTTTTGTTTTGTTTTGTTTTTGAGATAGGGTCTCACTATATTGCCCTGACTGGCCTGGAATTTGATATGTAGGCCAGGCTAGCCTGGAATTCCTAGACATCCAACTGCCTCTGCCTCCTGAGTGCCGGGATTAAAGGTGTACACCACTCTGTCTGGCAGTTCTCCACACTTTAGGAAGTATTATTTTGAGTTCCAGCTCACTTCTACCTATTCAGACAACACTCCTTTTTGAGATAGGGTCTCCTGCAGCTCAAGCTGGCCTCCGCCTCTCTATGTGGCTGAAAACCACCCTGAATCCTTTTGCTCCACCTCCCTGGGGTGAGGGTCACAGCAATGTGTCACTATGCCCAGCTCAGATGAAAACCCTTCCTGTGAGGAGAGGTGTTTCAAGTTTGTGTTCAAAGAGTCACCATAAAAATACTATTAAAATAAGGAAAACAATGTAAATTACATTCCTAATTGAAAATAATGTTTTCATAGTTCAAGGGCAACCTTCCTCAAAACTTATTTCTCAGACTGTCACACACACACACACACACACACACACACAAAAAAAAATACATTTCTTCCCTCCATCTTAGCTTTTCCTTACTTTTGCCTGTCTAGGATTCCTGTCCCACTTACTGCTTCTGGGGATTATGGGCCCATGGGGCACATCATTTCTACTTCATGCAATTGCCCTGCATCCCAAACTGCACCCCCAACACCGTCAGTGCAGCAATTGCTACCAGGAAGTTTTTACTTATCAGTAGCCAGTGCCCATGATGGACTACCCTAGCCGCTCAGAGGTAGTAACAGACACCCAGGATCCTTTTAAGGCTGGAAAATTCCAGAGGATATCTATTGATGGTGAGGATCAAGCCCAAACTCACCTTTCAGTCCAGCAACAGGAAGACTATCTCTCCTCAACTCCCTCAGCAGTTAAGAACACTTACTGGCTTTCCAGAGGACCCAAGTTCAGTTCCTAGCACCTGTATCAGGTAGCTCACACTGCCTACAACTCCAGGCAATGAATGGTCAAAAAACTTTCAACTCTAAGGGTATCCAAGACCTCCAACTGCCACAGGCATTGACACTTATGTGCACATACCTACACATAGACACACACGTACATACAATTAAAAATCAATCTTTAAAAAAGAATTTTTCTGGAGTCCATGTAGTCTTTCGACCATGTTGTCCTTCAGGATGCTCAGTGGTGAGAGTATGATGGGTCAATGGGCCATGGAGATGTTCCACAATTCCCCCAGGGCTGCTTAAAGAGGCCCAGGGCATGTCTTGCTTGGCTAGGAGAAAACATCACCATTAAAAAATATATGAATTTTTAAAAAGAGATTGTCAGAAGGAAGTGTGGCCCTTCTCTTTATGAACTAGAAGCAGCCCATAATTTCTTGATCTAATTTCTCTCCTAAGACCTAATTATGGTTATCATATCAGCTCTGTCTTAAAACAGCCTGCCATGAAAGGGGGAGATAGCTCCTGTTGCCAAGTCTAGGAAACGGTGCAGAAGCCAGGGAAACTGTCATATTTAATTTTACAGTGATGTATGAGTTTTTGATGGTCACTGTTGCAGGGAATGAAAACCTAGACCAAATATTTTAAGGGACTCACTTCTCTTTTGAGGTTTGCTTTAATTTGTTTATATAATTACTCTATTTTTAAAATGTAGCATCCCATCTAGGATAGCAGGAATTGAGTTTCTGACAGGTTAAGGTAAGGATAAGTCACACAGTGACTTGCATAATGACTGAAAGTACTTCATCATGTCCTGATGGCTGGGTACTGCCCAATAAAAATGTTAACACTTTAGGAAGTAACACTTCAAAGTGAATGTTTAAAAAGAAGTAAAAAATACTAAGAAAACACTTGTTTTCCTATTTAAGAATTTCAGGGGCAGTGGTGGCGCATGCCTTTAATCTCAGCACTCGGGAGGCAGAGGTAGGTGGATCTCTGTGAGTTCAAGGCCAGCCTGGGCTACAAAATGAGTTCCAGGAAAGGCGCAAAGCTACACAGAGAAACCCTGTCTCAAAAAAACCCCCCAAAAAAAAAAAAAAGAATTTCAGTTTGTGACCTAGGTAAAGATAACACTTTCCAATGTCAATATATTACAACATGAAGATCCAGCATTACCATGCTAGCTTAGGTGGCAGTTTGAATGAGAACGACCCCCATAGGCTCATATATTTGATTGTTTGGTTACCAGTAGGTAGAACTGTTTATTTATTATGTATACAATGTTCTTCTTGCATATATTAGAGAACTAGGAGGTGTGGCCTTGTTGGCAGAGGTGTGTCACTGTGGCTTTGTGTTTCAAAAGATTTGTGCCATGTCCAGTGAATCAATCAATCTCTCTCTCTCTCTCTCTCTCTCTCTCTCTCTCTCTCATTTGTGGATCTAGATGGAAGTTCTCAGCTATTGATGCCATGTTTTTCCTCCCCTATCATGGACTTAAGCTTTTGAAACACTTTCTTTCATAACTTGTCTTGGTCATGGTATCTTATCACAGCAATAGAAAAGTAGCCAAGACAGCTTAGGGGCTGTCCTATACAGTCAATGTTTTATATCATGAAGACCCAGTATTTTCATGTTAGCTCAGGAACTGTTCAGCATGGTCAGTAACTTACAGCATTGAGGATCCAGCACTATCACGTCAGGGGCTGTTTTACGTGGTTAATGTCTTATAATATAAGGACCCAGTGTTTCCATGTCAGGTTGGGAGCCGTTCTACACGGTCATATATGCATCTTTCTTTAGGCTATGGCATCTTCCCTCATTCAACACCCAGCCTTACTCTAGATCCTAAACCTAAGTAAAAGTGTCCCCAAATCTGTCAGTCTATTGTTATGTCAATATATCACTCCATGGTTATTTACTGAATGATATTTTAAAGATCTATTTATTATGTATACAATGTTCTTCTTGCATATATACCTGCAGGCCAGGAGAGGGCACCAGATCTCATTACAGATGGTTGTGAGCCACCATGTGGGTGCTGGGAATTTAACTCAGGTCCTCTGGAAGAGCAGCTAGTGCTCTTAACTGCTGAGCCATCTCTCCGGCCCTGAATAGTTTTTCTTTAACACCTAAAACTGTCACCTTTTAAAATAGGGCCTGTCCCAAGTGAGATACTGAATATCTCACTAGTTAAATAAAATAGTTGTCACCTATTTATAATAATCCTGTGTCCCTCCAACAGTGTTTGCCACCCTTGAAGACTGTATTGAGTGTTTAGGCAGCAGTGAAACTAAATCAAACAAATCCCGAATTTGCTGCAGGGTCTGAGGGATAGGAGGGGTCTTGACCACTGTGGCTCAGATAGGAGATTGGAGTCGATCCTCACAAAACTTCCGGCTTTTGAATCTTGCCTTGAGCTCCAGGAGGTAGAAAAAGCAAAGAGGGGCCTCTCTCCATGGTGTGTGTATGGAGAGAGTGGGAATAGCCTTTCCCACTCAACTGGAGGTTGACCTCAGACCTCCCTGCTACCCTCTCCCAGTGGATAAGACAACTTGGTCCCCATCTCAAACTGGAACTTTCCACAGTCAAAATCAATGTTTCTGCCTGAAGGACCAAAAGGAGGCTCCATTTGCTGTTTGGGGGACCTGAGGTCTGTCATCTCTACTTCTAGACACTCACTTTCTGCCCCAGCATTCCAGGAAATCCAGGGAAACCCTGTGAAAAGAACAACAAATACTGTGACTGTTTTGAAATGCCACTTGGAACTGGCTGTGGATAGATTTGGTCAGCCATTTTTGTGATGGCCATCCATCAGTCCACAGGTGGGGAGCTCCCACTTCTATTTCAGCACATCACCTGGACAGACTTGCCATTACCTTTTCTCCTTTGGGACCCAAGTCACCCCTTTCACCTCTGGATCCCTAGGAGAAAACCGAAAGAGGGGTTCAGTGCACTAATATTGCACTTGTGTGTTTATGTGGGGGGGGGTGGGATAGGAGCATTTCAAACTGATAAGCTCCCTAGGCCAACACCTTCATTTTGACAAAGCTCTAGGCTCAGATAATAGGTAGCTTGCCCAGTCAAGGCATGCTTTCTGGTTAGACCCCGCTACGACCTTTTAATGTTAGTTAGTAAAGGGAAACAGAAAGTTCTGGGTCTCAGATCCTCTCATCTCACAGGGCATGTGTCCGCAGGTGCCTGTTGGTGTTTGTTTTATTTTAGTAGAAAAGAAGGCTGTGTGATAGAAACCTGGCCCAAGGCTAAGTCCCCTCTTCCAGCACCCTATGCTGACTGAGGATAACTCCCTACCTGGCTCTCCTTTGTTTCCCTGCTCCCTGTTGGGGACAGGAACCTCACTGGGAGGTCTTTTTTACCAGAGTTGCCCTGCCTCAGGAGGCCCCTCTTCTCTCTCAGCCCATACACGATGAAGGACAGAGTAGTCTGGAATGATGACTGCAGTTGATATCTGAAGAGAGAGCTGGGCCTGTCTTCCACCCACCCCCAACTCCAGAGCTGTGTCCAGACCAGGATGTGGGATGCCACCCACCACCAACTCCAGAGCTGTGCCCAGACCAGGATCTGGGATGCCAGGAGAGACACGGACTGACCTTTTCCCCTCTGGATCCAGGGAAGCCCTAAAAGAAAGCAGACTGTTTATAATCAGTCCCCAAGACAGCAGAGGAGGTGGGGGGGAAGGGTGCTGTAAGAATGGAAGGACTCCTGGAGTATGCTGTCTCTGCACTCTACTCTGAGTTTTAAGAGGCATGTAGGCATAAACAGGAAGATGTCTGGGAGGCTTGTGTTTATACTATGCCTAAAAAAATGTAGCTTTTCTCATCCCTCAAAAGCCTAATCCGGAGGCAAAACCGTGATAGCCAAAGAGAACAAAAGGAACAGGATCCCCATGTCCCTGCACCCCAGGGCATGATGTCCCCCAAAGGGCTCCCCAGCACAGGGTGACAGTCCCCCAGTCCTGCCCTCCCCATCTTTGTAGACAACTGCCGCTCCCCAGTCATAGTGAGAAGGCCTGGGAATGTCCATCTGGACCACACACTGACCTTAGAGCCCATTGGTCCTCTTGACCCTGGCAAGCCCATCATACCCAGGTCACCTTTTTCACCCTGTGGCAATTAGAAGATGGAAAAGAAGGACCACAGTGATATTTCTTAGAGAAACAGAAACAGGGGTTTTGGGAAAAACTGGGATGGAACCAGGGTGTTGGGTCTGGGTTGTAAACTTGAGGTCCCATATGCCCCTTTGCCTCCTCCCAGGGCTCCACTCTCCACCTTTCAATGTGGTTGTTGAGATTAAATAGAGAACAACAATGCCCAAGATGATACCAATCACCAAACTAAATACTCACTAAGAAGCTGTAAATGGTGATGTTTGATCTTTTCCTGGAAAGGGTTGTGAGAGGGTGGGGAGACAGCATGAGGGCCTCAGAAAATAGGCTTGCCACACATACAAATTCTTTGCCTGATTTGCTTTATGTATAGGGAGGGCCTTTCATTATACTCTCACCCTCAGTTTGAAGCCAAGCCAGGGAACAATCAGCCTCTGGATAGATAAACAGGAGGGGGTGGTTAACAAGTAGGGTGGGCTCTGTTGTGCCTCAGAGTCAGCGTGAATCTTCAGCATTCTCTGCACTACAAAACTGCATGACACCTCTGATTAGGAGGGATATAAAGTCAACTATATGCTGATTGGGGGGATTAATTGTGGGGTTTTTGGGTTTTGTTTATTTGGCTTTTTTCTTTGTTTTGTTTTGTCTGTTTTTGGTTTGTCGTTGTTGTTATTGTTTTGTTTTTTCAGGCAGGATCTCGTGTATCCCTGGCTGGTATCAAATTTAGGTGAAGATGGCCTTGAACTGATGCTCTTGCCTCTACCGTTGAGTGCTAGGATTATAGGAAATGTACCACGATGCCTGGCTGCATATTCTGAATTTTAAATATCTTTATAAGTTACCTTAAATGTAAAACTAAGCAAGTGAAATTAATTTTGCCAGTACTTTACTTTCATTTAATCTAATTGTCACTTCAACGTGTAATCATTGTAAAATAATGAGATTTAAAACTACATTTCATTTAGTGTGTGTGTGTGTGTGTGTGTGTGTGTGTGTGTGTGTGTGTGTGTACCACAGCACATCTATGGAGGTCAGAGGACCACTTCTGGAAGTTGGTTCTCTCCTCCCACCATGTGGGTTCCAGGGATGGAACTCGGGTTGCCATCTCCACTCTCTCCCCATCCCCAAATACAGTTCTATAAATTAAAACTTGGGGAAGGCAAAATGAAACCTTCTGTTCTTCATTTATATTAGTCACATTTCAAGGGCTTCACAGCTATACGTATGTGGCTACCATGATAAACAGCTTAGCTCTCTATAGTTGGGATGTTTGTTTGTTTGTTTGTTTGTTTGTTTGTCTGAGCTAGGATCTCACTCTAGCTCAGGCCAGTCTGGAACTTACTTTGTAGCCCAGGCTAGCCTCTAAGTCCTGGTGATCCTACCTCAGCCTTCTGTGTAGTGGATAGCCATTCCAGCTTTGATCTGGAAGTTCCAACCCCCACTGAGGCTTCGGTAACTGTCACGCCTACAAGGCAGGGCCGAGAGAGGACCCTGAAGACCCAAGATCCGGATGCGCTGGCTCTCTTGGACCCTGGACCCTGGACGCTAGAGGTAGACCGAGCAGAGTTCTCCAGAGAACATCGCCAGACTGCGCTACACCTTTCCCAGACCCTGTTACCTATCCCTTCATTTGTGAGTTACCCCACAAAATAAACTTTTTAACTACATGGAGTTGCCTTAATAATTTCACCAATACTTCTGAGTACTGGGTTTGTGAGTACGAGCCACCATGCCTGGCCATGCAGTGAATTGAAAGCTGCCTGCACGTATGCATGTGTGCCATGTACATGCCTACTACCCGCAGAGGCCAGAAAAGGACATCGGATCCCCTGGAACCTGAGTTACAGATGCTTGTGAGCCACCACGTGGGTGGTGGGAACTGAACGCAAGACCTCTGCAAGAGCAGCATCACTCTTAACTGTGAGCCATCTCTCTGTCTCTGCAGCCAGGATACAGTGGGTTTAAAGAGAAATCTCCTAGGGACTTCTGTGTCACCAACATAGCCAGGAAGGTAGAGCAGCAGAGGATATTTGCTCTTCTTGCCCTGGCTTCTGCTGGTCAAATTTCCAAGTCACGGCCTGTGTACCCTGCATCCTGTGACAGGCAGCAAGAACATGAAACAAGGGAAGATGGGGGTGTGTTTGCTTTGCATACTCCCTCTGAGGAGGGGGTGACCCCTTGCTCGGTGTAGGATCTGCATCCTTCCAGGCTGCCAATACTCCGTACTTTCCACCTGCCAGATCAGTGTGACGGATAGCTTCCCAGACCTGGGTTCCCTTTGGGTCATCTCAGAGAAGCCAAAGACTAGCACAGTAATTCTCAGGACAAAGGGGAAATGGGGCTCCTGGGAAAGAAGGGAACAGCCCCCATTTCTCCACAGGAGCAGAGTCACAGCACTAACCCTGGTCTGCAGACCACGTCAAGGGGAAATGCTCGAGGGCTGGGAGATCCCTTCCAGCTCTTCCCCCTCTCAAGGAAGAGATGCATGTGCTTGACTGTTGGCCAGGACCCAGGAGGTCGTCATCTTCCCCGTCATGTTCTGATCCCACATGAGCCCCAACACATAAGATACTTACCCTGGGTCCTTCAGGGCCTGGCCAGCCAACGGGTCCGGGCATGCCAGGAACACCTGGGGGTCCAGGTCTACCCTTCAAAGACCAAGAACAAAAGTCAAGATACCTTGGTATGCTTCTCTCCATCAAGAACATCTGGGGTCCTGATAAGGTATAAGGCCACTAAGTGTGTCCCCCTGTACCTTCCAAAGAATGAGGGCCTAAAAAGCCGTGGCAAACAGGTATGAGTTAGGTTTTTGGTGTCATATTATATTATCAAACAAGGTTTTATTCTTCTTAAGAAATAGAGACCAGTGGGCGGGGGGTTCTAAACCCCTTGGTTTTCCATTTTTGTCACCTCCGTTCACTGTAGCACTGACCCTTGCTTCCTGTGGGTTTTCCACAAGGTTGTCCTGTGATGTGAGCTGGGATGTGTGGGGGCAGCAGTGGATGCTGCTGGAAGTCCCTCAGGCATTCTGCCTGCTTGAGGCGCCATCCCTCAGTGGCTGCCCTGTTGATGTCTACCAAAGCCTGAAACCTTTAAGTTCACTTGGGGCTTTGGAGCTTCCCAGTCACTTATGAACCTTCCTTTCTACAGCCAAGATCCCAGATCTCTTACCATCAAGGTATCAAGGAAGGACAGACAGGCAATCCACACTCCCAAGTTCAGGCTACTGGAGTTGGCCACACTTTCTCATGACCCCTTCACCCCTCTTTACAGGTTCCTCCTGACAGTGCTCCCTTTGCAATTTATTCACTTGTCTGTGTCTCTGCTTCCAGAGAACCCCACCTCAGCTAAGTGAAAGAGGACAAGAGTATAGATTAAGGGGTCTACCTTGGGCTCCACACTTGGTGGATCACTTTACAGTTAGCTAGGGATTCAAAAGGTTCAGCCAAGAGCTCAGGAATGCCAGATGCTGGTGTGTACACTCTACTTTTTCTTCCCATGCCCATGGCAGACATCACTAATCAGCATAGACCTTGACGCATCTGAGCATAGACCAGCCACAGGATCCTCTCCAGGTCAGCAGTCTACAACAGCCACAGAGCCGTGGCTGCCCTTGTTATTTGTACCTTACAAAAGTCCGTTTATGGCTTCTGTGGGTAATAAAGCCACTGGCATCTTTTCAGCTGGATTTTCTCTTCCTTCAATCACAGTCAAGACTAGAACTTGAGTGCCAGCACTCCCTGACTGCAACGACATCACCTGCTGGTTCTTTCTCTGACGCTAATGATGTCATGTGGCTGGTTCACGTGAGCCATGGTAATTTCCAAAGCAAAGCCATTCATTCCCATCTGCTCAAGCACTTGATTCCAGTTTAATCAAGTAGCGAAGGTCATTTTGTGTCACTCTTTGGAGAATTCTCTGCGGGGGGGGGGGGGGGGGGGGGGGGGGGGTGAGGCTGAGGAAGTATGGCCAGACCCGGCAGCCTCTGGAAGGTTTGTCAGATGCCAGAAAAGGCAAGCATGCTGACATCACCAGAGGGATGGCAGCACCAGCCCTCCACCAGGTACTGGTAGCCACTGAACACACACGCACGCATGCAGCACCATTGCCCAACAGAGCAGCATGGGTCATACCTTCCTTCCTGGGCGGCCAAGATCCCCCTGTGCATAGAGAAGACAGATAAACAAAGGTTGTTTGGAAGAGAAGTTCTGGAGTCAGAATGCTTAGTAGGGCGTGGCTGTGACTGGTCAGTCAGCTGGTCACTTGACCAGTTAGAGCATGTCTGCCATGCCAGTGGCCCGAAGCAGGACACACCAACAGCACCCCCTACTACAGCTGCAGCCCTTCATCAGGGAGCCCTCCTCATCTGCTAAGACAGAATGAGCACATATTTTGATATCTCAACCAGAGCATCCTCAGTGGCACCCCCAGAAAGCAAGCTGTAGCTACAAAGGCGAGGTGGGACTAAGAAAGCGGAGACTCATACCTTTTCTCCCTTTGGTCCTGTCCTGCCAGGAAGCCCGGGTGGACCCTACACAATCGAGATAAGAAGTGAAGAAAGCTGTACCCAACCAAGGCGAGACTGCAGGGGAGGGTTTGTGGTAGCGGCCTGTGGCCCTGGACCTTTACAGAGCAGGCAGACTCTGGGGGGGGGGGGGGCTCCAGGCACCCCTGCAGGAGCATGCTCTCCCCTCTCTTCATCTCCCTCCTGAGCTTTCTCAGCATGGTTTCATGGCACCATGGTTGTCCCTCTCTGGATTTTGATTTCCTCCCTAGAATCCTTCAGTGCTTGATAAGATCAACCACAGAGTCTTGAAGAAGCCCCTTGGGGGAGACTGTGATGCTCCTCAACCTCAGGGATCCTTCACTGCCTGCACCATGCTTCCCAGGGCCCCAGCAGGAGGGAAAGTTAAGTTTTGCCTAGAGAAGCAGCTGATTCCGATATTCCCAGGGAGGAGCAGGGTTTAGTGGCCCACTCCTGTAATCTCAGCAATTGGGAACTGGAGGCAGGAGGATTGAGAGTTCAAGGCCAGCCTTGGCTGCACCAGCAAGTTCATGGCCAACCTGGACCACCTGAGACCCTGTCTTACAAATAACAAACAAACAAGGTAAAGAAGACAAAACGAAGCATTCCCACAAGTGAGCTGTGGGTCTCAGTGCTGGACAATCCTCTCCTCCCTGCTTTCATTAAAGTAAGGCGCATGTTTGTGTCCCATTGCCAGCCATAGGAGGTGGGTGGCTCCAGCCAGAGGCTGTGAAAACACCAGTGTTTTGCACATCCACAGCCGGAAGCAGCTGTTTTCTGTTCACATGTCTGTGGTAAGTTCAGTTGATGACTGTTTTCCTAATTCCTGGGGATGGCAGAGAGAAACCCCCTCAAGTCCCTTAGCTTCCTCCGTCCCCTGCTGTCTGCAAGTGAGCAACACAAGGCAAAGCCTGTTGGAAGCGTGCTCTCTCCAAACCCTGTCATCACACTACAACTTCCCCAGGAGCTTTGAAAACTCCCAAAGCTCAGGCTATACCCAGACCCATCAAGTGACTGTTGGGGGCAGTGGGAGTTGGTGAGAGAATAAGCACTAGGCATGTTTGAAGTTCTCCAGGGGTCAACCCGTGAAGATAAAATTGGGAGACACCACCTTTGGTTTACCTGCCTTCTGTTTTGGAATGGAGTCGGGAAGTTGTTTTAATTCTGTTTTCTTCATTCTGCCAAGCCTTCCATTTCTTGAAATGGTTAGAACTATTCTACAAGATCATTGAGCTTGGCACCCACCAAACAAATACAGATTCTGATTGAATAAAGGGGGATGGGCAGAGTGTGAGATTCCACTCCCCGCCTTCCTTCCTTCCCTCCTTCCTTCCTGTGATGGAAGTCTTACCCTGGCTGGCCTGGTACTCATGATACAGCTCAGGCTGGCTTCAAACTGAAGGTAATCTTTCTGCTTCCACCTTCCAAGTGCTGGGATTATAGGGCTAAGCTAATCACCTAGTGAGATTGCATTTCTAACCAGTTCCTATGGTGTCAGTTGCAGACTTAGAGATCTCACTTTTAGTAGCAACAGCATTCACTGTTCTAAGGGAACTGAGGTGGCTGCACAGACTCCGTGGGTGGGCAGCAGAGCCTCCATGTGGTTCAGAAGAGCTTGTGGGAGCTCAGAGATGCACTAGTGTGAGTGGGACTGCTGTTCTGAGCCCAGAAGAGGATTCCTTCCACACGCTCTGTTGGTTCTCATGAGCATCAAGACCCATCAGAAAAGAGCACTGCAGGGGGGATGTAGAGTCCACCTTAGCGGACTCTCATCCGGCCTTTGTGCAGATGATCATCAGCCACTTTTTGGTGGCCTCTGGCCTCTGAGCTCAAAATCATTTTCATTACAACATTCTTAAGATGCTTGTATTGTTTCTTTCCTTGTTTATTTTGTTTTTGAGACAGAGTCTCTTACCATGTAGCACAGACTACTCTTAAACTCAGGATCCTTCTGCCTCAGCCTCGCAAGTGCTGGGATTATAAGCCTGTCACCATACCTGGGTCAATAAATGTTTATGGAGAACAGGCTAGCTATAGCCCACAGGTGGAGTAGATGGGGAAGCACAGTGAGCAATATCCCTGTCCCTGTAGACATGGGATCAGTAACCTTTCCTCTACAAAGCCAGAGAATGATTCTCTTAGGCTTAGAGGGTCACATCTGCTGTCTGCCAGATTCCTCAGCTCTGCCCTGATAGCCTGGAAACAGCCACAGAAAATAAAACCAGAGTTAGAAACCCAGACGGGGCTAGATTCAATGCCGTGGATTTAGATGTGATAATTGCAAAAAAATTCTCCTGTCTATTCCTCTCCTTCCCTCCCTACCACCTCCTGAGATATGGTTTCATTCTGTAGCCCAAGCAGTCTTGGAACTCACTTTTTAGTTCAGTCTGATCTCACACTCATGGTAATCCTCCTGCCTCAGCCTCCTCTGAGTGCTGGAATTAGAGCTATGTGTCACCATGCTTGGCTTATAAAGGTATCTCTAGGGAGGCAGCATAAAAACCAACTTTTGAGTGACTAAGAAGAGTTGGTAAAAACGTTAGGAAGAACAGCGGGGCCCTGACTGCATGGACCCGAGGCTGAGAAGCTCCGTGTATGTGAGGAAGAAAAGCAAACATTGAATGAGAGGAAGAGAGGCAGACATTGTATGTGAGGAAGAGCGGCAGAGCCAAAGATGGGGTGTGTGTGCAAGCTGATGGAGCAATCCAAGCTAGGGTCCACTCGTGGGACTTTGTCTTCCATGCAGAAAGTTCAGTTTTTAGTCCCCTAACACTAGGAAGCCACAGGAGGCTCATGGGGCTGAGGGGTGATGTCTATGCCTCCTGCCTAGGACAGCACAGGGCCCTACATGCTCTTCCCTGGAGGACCTGAGCCTCAGAGCAGTCGAAAAAGCCCTCATGGCAGCAGGCCAGCCCCAGGATGGGGGTCTCTGGAGTGCGCTGTTTGTCTGGAAAGTTCTTTGTCTAACAACTTGCTCGTTCCTCACTCTTCTCTTTTACATTGCATAGGGGCTGCTTAGAGCAGTCCAGAGTCAGGAAAGCTCAGGTCACCAGTCCCTCTGACCGCCACGTTCCTGCACTGAGCGTGAGCACCTTTAGGTCCGATGTGGATGGTCACATCTGTATTTGGTGACAGTGACAACAACAGCCGCTACCACATGGGCAGCATCCTATAGGAGACCCTGAGATTTATCACGGCAGGTGACTCTTCACCAGAGGCTCCTCGGGCTCCAGAGCTGGAGAGCCTCTACAGGAGAGAAATGGGCCACAGGGGCGGGAGCTACGGGGGGCTCTGCCCATTAGGTTTCTTTGTCTGTGGGAAGACACAGCATGGGGGCCTGGAAGGATGAACCCACCTGGGGCCCAGGGGGCCCAGGAGAGCCAAGTGAGCCTTGAATGCAGGGTGATGGTGAGGCCTCAAGTTCCAGAAGATTCTTCATGTCTGGAGAGAGAAGCTTCAGAGTAAAGCGATGGGTTAGAGGTCAGACCAATGAAAGAGGCCTCCCTGGACCCGACCCTGCTCTGTTTCTACGCAGTGGGAACCTCTGGGCTCTTTTTTCCCTACGTTTGTTTTTAATAGAAAATAAGACGTCACAGACTGTGGCTGTCCGGATGCCGCATATCTAACTGCATTTTGACACCGTTCTCTAGCCTCTCCTGCCCTCTTCTCCATTTCTATCCTCACACCCCGTCTTTGCCTCCCCTCCTCCCATCCTCCCCCATCCCAGGGGTTTCATAAATACTCGATTTTAAAAAGGGAGATGGGGGAGTCCTGCATCTGAACGGCCGATGGGAACTTAGAAGCTGTGAATGCACCGTAGCGTTTCCAAAAAGATGAGGCGTTTTGCTACATCTAACTCCAGGTGAGAAAAACCCTCCCTCCTCCACAGATTTAAGACGGCAGGGGAACAGATGTGTGGCGAAATTGGCACAACTGGCACAATGCCCACTCCGGGCCTTGGCCCCTGAGTGAAGGCAGAGCCGCCTTTCTCACGTGAGATTCTGGGGTGGCCATGTTGAGCCAGGGGTGGGGCTGACGCGGGGGAGTCTGGGGGTTGCACTCACCGACGACGTCCAGAGCACTCACCGGGCTTCTGCTGCCTCTGAAGAAGGGTGGTGGGAACAGCGGGGGTGGCGGGGGTGGCGGGGGTGTCAGTAGGCAGCATGCTCGGTGGCTGCCCCGCTTCTTCTGATCCAGGCCAGGAAGGGCTGTTCAGGGAAAACTGCTGCTCCTTAGCCTGGGGCTCGGGGGATGACCTGGTCACACCCACCACGCCCAAGGGACATTGCTGGCCTGTTTGAGATGTGAGCAGGCCCCTGTTGGTTGCCTGACACAGACCTTCCCTTTGCAGCCGCCGCCATGACCAGAGACACTGCAGCCGCCGCCATGACCAGAGACGCTGCAGCCGCCGCCATGACCAGAGACACTGCAGCCGCCGCCATGACCAGCAGCATGTGAAGATGCCGGTGGGCCACCAGCCACGTGGCAAAGTATAGATTTATGGAAATGGACTAATTTAAGCTATAAGCACAGTTAGCAAGAAGCCTGCCACGGCCATACAGTTTATAAGTGATATAAGCGTCTGAGTGATTATTTTATAAGTGGATTGTGGGACTGGCAGGTGACAAAGATTTGTCCTGACTGTGGGCAAGGCGGAAAACTCTAGCAACAGCTGGCATAGACAATGATGTGTGTGTCCTTTTCTCCTTCAGAGACTAACTTTGTAGGTGTGAGAAGGAATGGAAAGTTTAGACAGACCTGTAATGTGGCCCCGAAGCTAGGCAGAAGGAAGTGCTTGTGGATAACCGTGATACAGTCTCAGGAGGAAACTGTTTAGACAGAGAGGTAGCCAGGCCGGAGGTGGCGCTGACTGCAAGGTGCTCAGAGCCATGGTTTCAGACAGATTCTATCCACTCACTCAGGTGCTCCATCTCACTAGAGAGTCCCACTTAAATGTCTCCATCTAGGTGAGCAAATCCTCGGCATAAGGAGGCAAATAGGCCGCTGGGCTTGTACAGCTTAGTTTTCGTGGGGTCTTATCTATGTTTGGCCTTAACATATGGTCAGTGTTGTAGCATGCAGCAAGACACAGATTCCACAGTACGGCACCATCGATTTCTCCAGAAGGAACAGCAGAGGCCTATAAACCCCAGCCTCTGCGCTTCCCCACACCCACGGGACCCTAGCACCAGGGATGCATCATGAAGATGTCTGCATTTTATGCAAATTGAAGCATACAGCGTGAATTCCTATGTTTGTCTTCTCTTCCTCAACACGGTGTCTGAGGGAGGGGAACAGGCTATCGTTTAGTCTTGCAGAGTTCCGCCGTGTGGCTAGACCATAATGTACTTATCCATCCCACTGAGCATCACTGATATGCATGGGGTGACGCAGATGCTCACACACCAGAATGGCTACAAAGAAAAGGACAGGAGATAAATGTGGCAGGTGGGAACGGAGGCTGGTATCTCCTTTGGAAGATTGCTTGGTGTTTTCTCGTAAAGCAGGACATAGACACACACTACAGCTCAGCGATTTCGCTTCTAGGAATTTGCCAGTGGAAAGGTGGGTGCACTAAAATGTTTGCAGCAGCAGAAAAGCCATGTTTTTCAGTTCCTAGTTTTCCGGGGACCTCTACGTCCCTCTCTCGCTCGGATATCTGACCTCACAGAACAAGCCCAGGTAGGCCTCCCGAGCCTCTCAGCGCGGAGCTCCATGTTGAATCTTATCGCTAGGAGGCTTTCCCTCGCTCGCACACCAAGCTTCAGGGGCCTTGCTACACTTTTCTCTGGGTTTCTCCCTGCGTCCATGCTTCTCCGCAGGCTAAAACTCTCCTTCTGTCTCCCAGCATGAGCTGTGCTTCCTGGGAGGGGGCCAGGGGCCAGTTTCCATCCCCAGGGTCTAACAGTGCACCTGTAGACACTAGACTTCTATAGATGGTTGCCGAATTAACAATTTAGTGACAAATACTGGCTACACGTGAAGCACCATTTGCGTGGTTCGTGTACACAAGCACGCCAAATCGTCATAGTAACCCTGAGCCAAGCACCACCACCACCACCATCGCCACTTTACCAATCAGCTAACCAAGCCAGTGAGTCAGTTTGCTTACAGTCAAACGAGTTGGCAGTGGAGCCTATACTTGAACACAGGCAAGCTATTTCCAGAGCTCGCTCTTTTGAACTCTGACTCCAGATGGGTAATAGTTGAGACTGGGACCCAGGAAGAAGGCAAGGGACTTCCCAGAACACTACTTGAGACCACTGTATCCATGCTTTCCAACCAAAGACTACCGGGAACACACCCAAAGAAGAACCAAGTTGGGTTTATTGGTTTATGGCAAGAAGGGAGAACACACACAGGAAGAACCAGGAGGCACAATGAGAAACTTATTCTAGGGTTCTGGCTCCTTGCAGATTTGTGGAGGAGACTGAGATGCAAAGTCTGGCTCTGCTTTGGAACAGCTGCTGACGAGCAGAATGAGCTGTCTGCGATCAGCTGGCTTGGTTCTTCTCTGGGAGAAAGAGGAACGGAGCAAAGCACAAGCCGATTACATACAAGAATGAGAATGGTCATTTCATGGTGGGGTAGCCTTGGCTTTCCTCTGTGTTTGGTTATGACTTGGGGGTAGTCTTGCTTTTGCCCTGATCCATCGGGGTCACAGAGTGGTGCTGTCTGAGGGTGACGTCTATGGAATTATATGCCGTAGCTAATGCCATGCACACTGTACCTGGGCAGCTCCAGCTGTCATGGCCACTGTTCTTCTTTCCTTTCTTCCTTGTAAATTTTAATTCATGTGTATGAGAGTTTTGCCTGCATGTATGCATAGTGTGTCTGAGACAGCCAGAAGAGGGCGCCTCCTGGAGCTGGGGTTAATAGCTTCTGAGTGGGTACTGGGATTTGAACCCTGGTTATGTGGAAGAGCAACTAGAGCTCTTAACTACAGAGCCGTCTCTCCAGCTCCCGCTGTTCTCTTTCTTGGTGAAAAGTGATAGTTGTTTTCAAACTCTGCTCTCTCACCAGCTCTTTCCCAGTGTTGAGAAGACAGCAGAAGACAGCTTCAGCTTCTCCACGCTACCTTGGGCCAGCAAAGATGGCGGCAGGTGCACACTTGCCTCAGAAGCCTGTTAGAGTCCCCTCCAGACCCTTCCTTTTATCTCCCTTTTGCCTCAGTAGACAGCCAAGATCCAAGGCTGCAGTCCTCCAGAGGGCCCTCCCAGAGAGAACACCTGGGAGCCTGGCGGCCTGTGTGGCTAATTTGCACCATCACCATTGATTTTCCAGTCCATATATGGTCTCCAGTGTGGCCTGTCCAGCACCCTGGGAGCCCCCCTATGGAAAGAGCTTGGATCTCTCAAAGCAATCGCTCCCTTCACTTCTTCCTGGAAACTGGAGGTGTCTTCAGTGAACATAAATTAACAGCTGTTTCTCCTACCAGAGCATCTGCCTTTCACACTACCCATCCCTCCTCACTCTCCCCCTTGACCTACTTCATCCCAGCAGGTGGAGGGCTTCGATTTCTGCCCCTCCCCCGACTCCAGGAGCTGTGTGTTTTTAGCACAGTCTGGTTTATTTTCAGCTCATTCCAGCACTGAGTATTTCCATCAGGTGGATGGGGTTGGGAGCAGCACCCTCCCCCCCTTCACTCTGCCTATCAGCTAAGCCAGGGCTTCACATGTCTATTTTGGTGCTGAGTGGCTCATGAGTCTCTCTCAGGCCTGTGCTGTCTCCCACTGGAATTGTGCCTAAGCTCAGGGACCAGCCTAGAAAAGCCCCAGAAGGCTCTATTGTAATGGAAACTGGGGTGTATGTGTGTAGTACATGGTGCCTGTTGTGGCCCTGTGCACCATGTGCATGGCTCAGTCCCAAGCAGCTGCCTTAGCAATGTCAACTACCAAGGGACACCAAGACCACCGACCTGCACTTACCAATGCCACGTTATCTGTGGGACCTGCGCTGACAAAATAGAGGCAATGTCTAATGAAGAGTTTGGTAAATGTTTGTTTGTTTGTTTGTTTTAACATCGGAAAGGACCCTTTTCCATACTTTGTTTTGAGAAACTGAGGTGCATTCTTGGAAAGTGATTTACACCAGTGGACTCTTGGAAATACAGGAATTTGCATCCAAGAATGTGAGTCTGGGAGGCACATGGCCATGTGATACAATACAACTCACTTTCTCAGCCCAAGGACTTAGTTTCCTCATCTCTACCACCAAGAGTTTGGCATATACTGCCTCCAAAGGCAGTTTCTCTTGTTTTTTTTTTTTTTTTTGTTGTTGTTGTTGTTTTTGTTTTTGTTTCTTTTAATTGGTCTAGTTTCATTTCAATCTGCAGAAAATGATATCCCACCCATACATACACATGCACACACATGATGTCATTCACCCACATCTAACTGACAAAGTCCAAAGGCAGTTTTTAAGATAAGTATGACACCAAGATCACTACTATGTCTATCTTCATTTTCCTACATGCAAGACAAGCCCAGGCCACCAAGCAAGGCCACCAAGACAGCCATTTCTATTTCAAAGTTACACCAAATGGCATCCCTCAGAGCAAGCCAGTGTGTCACTAAAAGCCACCAAAGGAAGCAGCTATGAAAGAATACATCCTGCCTTCGTAGGTTGGAAAATGCCAAGTTGCAGCCATATGCTAGTGGTCCTGCATCTGCCTGGCCACAGGGTGGTAGCCTATTAAGTTGTCATGTCTCTCCTACCTGTTGGGATGGTGTTGGAAGGAAACATCGGACAAGGCAGGTGAAAAGCGCATGTCCCATGGCGGCGTCACTGGGTGCATCCGTGCTAGGCTGGAAGGCCCAGCAACGGTGACATCCACACATCAGCTAGCTGCAATTTGCCCAATCGTCTCTCATTCACATATTCCAGAGAAGATTTATTCCTAGGACTTCCCCTCAACCCCATCCATGCACAGACCGTACTGCCTTTGAGAAACAAATTCTGGTCCTAAAGGTGAAAGCATTTTGCAATTCTTGAAAAGGCTGTTGGGGAGGTTTGCACCAGAGTGGGCCTGGGCAGCAAGTGAGGACACATCTGCAAAGGAAGTGATTTGATGTTTTGGTGGCTGCTGCCTTTGAGCCACATCACCCAAGCCATTTGGCGAGCATCCCAGCCACCTAATGCCGAGGGGTGGGGGGTGGGGGTGTCATGGACCACAGAACATGGTTTTACTTCAAAGCCAAGGAGACAGCAGCTGCCAAACACCCTGGAGTCAAGGTCATAAGAGGAACAACAAACAAATTCACACACATAGGCATGTATGCAAGGCCTCCACTGACTCTATCACACCCCATTCACGCTGCAATCCTAACACTTGGCTGAGGAGTTTCAAATTTAAAGTCTGCTAATGCTCCCAGGGCAAGCTTACTGTCCCAGTCTTTTTTAAAGAACAATTCATGCACATATTCTCTCTTCCTCCCTCTCTTCTCTAACACACACACACACACACACACACACACACACACACACACACACATACATACACACACACACATACACACACACACTTACCCAAGTAGCCAGCTGAGTGATAGAGAAGTCCTGAAATGATAAGAAGATGAGTAAAGCTGAATGATGGGCCCGTCATCATGGGGCAAGACCCAAGGCAGACTGGCCGAGGAACACAAGCTAGAGACAGGCTGAGATCTGTCACGCCCCCAAGCTGCCCGCGCCTGGCCTGCCTGGCATTTTTGGTGGGAGTCGGCCAATCCCGGCTTTGATGTTGCTTCTGCCCCAGATGCCAGGCTTTCAGGGGCCAGTCCTGAGCTCCAGGGAGCAGGGATGGGTAAGCAGCCCTGCTCTAGCTCCTCACTGATGCTTCTGCAGGCCAGGCCATGGAGACACAGTACCCTCTGCCCAGGGGATATGAGCTTGGGAGCTTGGAGCACTGATCACCTCACACCACTAGGAGGAAACAGCACAGTCTGTCAGCCAGGCGGCTTTTCATTTGCCTCAAAACTGCCTCAGCAATACTGTTCTGGCATGCATCATAGTCCCACTCCACAGAGGGTGTCCAAGGAGACTCTGCCCTCTTCTGCTTCAGGGAAGACCTGCATGATCTCTTTGCTATATCTGGCAAGGTGTTGCCAATAAAGTCACATTCAAGATCACAAAACATGAACCATATATATACCACTATGCAGTCTTCTACATATGTAAATATATATGTGCATACACACACACATATATGTGTATTTCCAAGGATCATGAGGGTTGAACCCAGGACTTCATGCATGCTAAGCATGTAGTCTACCACTGAGCTACATTCCCAGCCTCAAACCTTTTTATAGGAACCTTTCTATAAAATAATAAAGTTGGTACATGTCAGGTACACACTGAAATATGCCTGATACTGTATACCTAAAGCACGAACATGTGTGATATTCTAAACCATGGAAGATAAGGCTATTGGGACTTAGTAAAAGCACTGATTTAAGCATTTTAGCAATGAGCTTTATAACAAGACTAGCCAACCTTTCCTACAAATAGCCGATATTAAATGTTTTAGGATTCCTGGGAGACATGGTCTCTGTGGCAAATTTGCCATTATACACAAAAGCAGTTGTAGGCAATATCTAAAGATATGAATATGACCAGGTTCTGATAAAACTTTATTTATAAAAAATAGGAGGCATGCTGGTTTCGGCTCCTGGGCTATAGTCTGCCGACCCAGCACTATACCATCAAATGAAAGGACAGTGACCAGATCCATCCAATGCATGCATCATTCACTAGAAACATGTAGAGAAGGCCAAGTGTGTGGATGTACAGTGACTAGACTTGATTTCCAGCCTCAGGAACATGCTTTTTAGTGTCACTGTAGAATCAGTACTGATGCTGGCATCAGGCGAACATGGCTTAATTCCTGGTCTTGCCACTTAACAGCTATGTGCCCTTGAGGAAGATGTCTGCTCGGAGTCTCAGCTTTCCCATCTGTAAAGTGGGTGTTACATAAACTACTTTGCTACTCAGTCAGGAGGATTAGAGCCAGGGCTTTTGGCATTTCTGGCACAGAAGAAGGCTCTTTATCAACCTGATTTGCACAACTTGTTCAAGGTAAAAGAGTAGACTATAGTGACAGGGTTGTCTGGAGGGACTCGCAGGAGGAAGAGATGGTTGATGGAGAGAGAATGAAATGAGTAGTCAGAAAGGCTTCCTGGAAGAGGTGGCATTTGAGCTGAGCCTTAAAAGCAGAGATTTTTCTCACTCAAAGTGGGGAGGAGGAGAAAGAGGGAAGGATTGGGTTCGTTCCTCTGGGAACTAGGTCTAAGACATCAAAGCAGAGGTGAAGAGCACTGGTTTCTCTTTCAGCCCCCATATGGCAGCTCACTGTCTGTAACTCCAGCTCCAAGGGATCTGACACCTTCACACCAGTGCACATAAAATAAAGTTAAATAAATTATTTTTTAAAAAGAGACATCAGGGCAGGAAGTGCTCTGTTTAGAGACCCAACAGTTGAACAACATCACCTGCATTATCTCCCCCAGTTCTCCTGTTGTGGTCATAGTCCCCATGACAGTTTGACCAAGAATGGCCTCCACAGGCTCATCTGTGTGAATTCTTGGTCCCCAGCGGCTGGACTGCTTTGGGAAGGACTAGGAGGCATGGCCTTGTTGGAGGAGGTGTGTCACTGAGGAGGCTTTGAGGTTTCAAAGACCATCACTAATCCCAGTGTGCTCTCTGCCTCTTGCTTTCCCATCCAGATGTGTTCTCAGCAGTTCCTGCCCTCATGCCTTCGCTCTACCATCATGGATCTAACCCTCTGAAGCCATAAGACAACTCAGGGCCTTCTTCTGTAAGTTGCTTTGGTCATGCATGGTGTTCTGTCACAGTAAGAGGAAAAGAACTAACACAGTCCCCCCCCCATCCCTCTTCTTCCTCCCCCTGTTCACCTTCTTTTTGGGAGAGGTCGCATTTGCAGCCCAAGCTATCCTAGGACTGTGTGGTGCAGTTTAGGATTTCAACTTACAGTAATTCCTCTGTCCCGTGCTCCCTAGTACCGGGCTCACAGGCTGACTACATCTGACCAAATTTTTCATTTCTTCTCCCAGCATCACGTGACAAACCCTTGGAAGTTCTCCACTTTCACAGAAAAACTACTCTTTTTTCTTTTTTTATACCATGTAGAATCAGACTTTAAAAAAAAAAAAAAAGATCTATTCATTTTGTTTCATGTATGAATGTTTGCATATACTTGTACATACCACATGTGTGCTTGGTGCCCTCAGAGGCAAGAAGAGGGCACCAGGTCTCCTAGAATTGGAGTTATGGGTGATTGCATGCGGGTGCAGGGAATAGAACCTGGGTCCTCTGCAAGATGTGCACTTAACTGCAGAGCGCTCTCTCTCTAGCCCCTGACATCAAACTTTTCCTTAAAAGATTTAACATGTAACCAGCCCAGCTGGCCACATGTCACTCCTGTGAAAGAAAGTATGTCAGTGCTCCCCCACCCCCATCGCTGGGCCCTGAGCACCTCTGAATTTCTATTTGTTCTTAATAACAGGCTGTGACTCTATGTCCTGCATCTTTCTGTGTGTCCTTTGGCTGCTCTTTTCTGTCTTGTTCCACTTCTAACTCTTTCAGATCCCAGCCAGCCTGGGACTGAGGATCCCTGGTCCTTATCCCTGGCAGGAAATTGTTGTTTGAATGCGGATGACTTATTTTCCCGGCATATGAAAGGGCATCTGCCAGGTGAGCTCTGAGCTTCGCTCTACAGTGGCTGTGCTTCCTGGCCATGGGAAGCCTCTGCAGGGCCCTGAAGAGAGGGAGGTGTGTCCCTCCTCCCTGGTATCAAGCCTCGTCCTTAGCTTCACTCCTATGCATGGGCCCAGGCCCAGCTTACTACTGACGAGCTGCCCGCAAAGGTTCATTCATAATCAGTTTCTGGTCCATCCTGCCGCTGTCAACAGGTGTCACATTCACAGTGCTTTGTCTTAATTGTGGCTCTGGGATTTATCACCCAGGCCAGAGGACCACTTCTGGAATATTGCCTCCCTGGGCACCGTTCCAGAATTTCCAGTCCCCACTGCAGCACAGGGACCTATCATTGCAGATCACAGCCCACATGGATTCTGTCACAGCGTCTGCCTCCACTGGCTCACCTACCACTGCTGCATAGGTTGGTGTCTGTGGCCAAGCTAATTCCAGCACCTGACCCCAGGGGCCCAGAGTTCTCATGTGAGACAAAGGTGTCCATACTGGAGATAGTGAACAACCATGATTCTATAACCCTGGCACTCCAGAGACTGAGGAAGGGGGATTGTGAGTTCTGGGTCAGCCTGGGCTACATAGTGAAACCTCATTTGAAAATCCAAGGAAAAGAGTCATTGAGATGGCTCAGAGAGTTAAGGCACTTGTCATCAACCCTGACAATCTGAGTTCAGTCCCAGGGATCTGGGACTGGTGGAAAGAGAAAACCAAGCCCTGCAAGTTGACCTTTGGTCTCTAAATGCATGCCACACATACGCATGAGTGAGCATGCATGTGCATGTATGCATGCATGCATGCATGTACACACACACACACATGTACACATGCACACATACTTTCAGAAGACTACAGAGCAGAGCCCAGGATCCCACCAGCCATAGGGTACTTCAAATCTGTTGTCCCATCTCTAGAACTTCCTGGGCAGTGGGAAAGCTGAAGAAGGCCACTGACAAAGACTGCCCCTCCCCGCTTGACAGGCTTCACTGACTCCTCTTGACTGAGACTCCAGCTTGAACTTGGGCTCCTGCTTCCATTCTTACAGTTGTAGTACCCCAACTAATCAACTAAATGGACTTCTCCTTCTTAACATTAACTCAAGTCCTCATTTCCACTCCTGACCTTAAGTAGCTCCGGCCTGCTTTTGACAAACTCTTGTGGCTGGTTTTGCCAGTGTCCCGCTACCCTAGTACTTTTCCATCAACTCATCCAAATGGCTCCGCCAAGTCCCCACCTGTCCTTGTACTGGAGCTGATCTAGACCTTTGTCTCCCACAGAGCTAGTCAATGGCAACAGCCTTGAGTTCTACTAAAAATTGCCTCCAGATCCACTGCCTTTGTTGTCTTGAGATAGTCCCCCTGAACATTCTACCAGAGTCTACAGACATTTATTGAATGTCTATGCATGCTAAGCTTTTCTACACTAAAACAATGGTGATCCTGGGTTAGCGCTTTCCACACATTTTGCCATTAGTCCTCTTGGCTAACCATCTTCATTTTGTGGAGGGGAAAATGACTCTTGGTGAAACCATGTTAATAGGTCTGAACTCCACAACTAGAACAGACTTGGAAATGGAATTCATAAGGAATTTTACACAGAGCTCTGTGAAGACGTGGCCTCCCACAGCCACCTTAGCCAGGAGGACAGCTCACTTGACCCCAGCTACTTGTACCCTTCCCATTCTTCTCACTACTTGTGTGGAGCCAGCAGCTCCCTTCCATTCTGATCACCCCCTACCCAGCTGGCTACCTCCCTTTCAGCTGGCTACCTCCCTCCTAGCTACTGACTATCCACCTCAGGACTGTCTGGGATTTGAAGTTGTACAGAGAAGGTTGACATTTCCCTCGGAGAGTTCACCACTCCACAGGCCAGTGCAGCCCCTGGGAACTGGAGCATGTGACCATTCTTGCCAATAGTTTTGAGTGTAGGGGATTCTACCCCTGAGGGATGGTGGAGCCATAATATGGAACGGACCCACAGCTTGAGTGCCCACCTGGAGAGGAGGCATCCCCCACTATGGATGCTGAACTGTGATTAGAATTTTTTTTCTCTTTAGACAAGGTCTATGTAGCCATGGTTGACATGGAACTTACTATGTAGGCCAGACTGGGGACACGGGGCACAGTGCCCAGTACCACTCAGAGAACAAACACCTAAAGTCAGAGATTATACCTAAAAAAATCTGCCTGGGGACGTGGCCATTTACCAATACTAGCGGCCTGTCTGCTTTTATTTTATTTTTGTTAGTGCATAAAATAATAGGTTTCCTATGATCATGTTCTCACTCATATGCCATCATTCCTTGCTC